CTGTCCTTAACTGCCTTCTGCCAATTATTTCATAACAATCTCTGGGATCTGGATAATTTTGTATTCACATTTTACAGATTAGGAAACTTGAAGAACAGAGGAGTTGTGTAATTTGTCCAAAGTTATTCAGCCAATCTGAGGCAAAGTCAGAATTTAATCTCAGTACATTTGCCTCTGAAGTCTTACATTTCATCCAATACACTAAGATCCTATTTTCATAAGATAAATAAATACAACTGTCTAGTGAAAACTAGAGATGTTACAAAATGAAATATTGTAAACATGATTTTTTCTTTTCAACCATTTTTATAAATTTTACACAACTCTTAAAATTAATATATGTTACTTTTATAAGATAGCTTTTATTTTGTTTTTTTAAATGTTTATTTATTTATTTTGAAAGAGAGGAGGAGGATGGGCTGAGAGAGAGAGAGAGAGGCAGGGAGAGAGAATCTCAAGCAGGCTTCATGCTGTCAGCACAGAGCCCAACACGGGGCTTAATCCAATGAACCATGAGATCCTGACCTGAGCCAAAATCAAGAGTGAGACACTAAATCGACTGAGCCACCCAGATGCCCCAAGATAGCTTTTATTTTAGAGAAAAATTGAAAAACACTGGGTACACCAAAGTTCAGAGCTGGGGTTTGGATTCAGGTAGCAGTGGGGTTGGATGGCCCTGGAAGGGAGAGGGGTGGGATAGAAATGGTGAGGGTCTGAGATAATGAATTCAATGCCATCTCTATTCGCTGGTGGTTGACTTTATGTCAGAGCTTGTGGGCTTTTTAATTCCCCATGTTGTTTGTAACTCACGTAATTGGAAACAGGCTTGCATCCAAGTGGGAATATGAAGGTGAATCATTACGAGGTAGAATGAATTTCTCTTCCCCTTGCCCAGCCACATGTCTGTCCACTTCATGTTTTATTGAAGAGTCATTTTGTATGTGCCTCTGTCGGGACCAACCGTTGGATTATGATGTTGTCAAATTAAAGTATTTCCCTCTTTGCATGGAGTGAGAAGTGTCTAATGGTGGCAAGCTTGTTTATTACAATATGTTCATTTTTTCACGTGAAGGTGAAGCTGGAGAATCAATATGACTCTTCAGTTTGGCTTTTGATTTTAAATATGTATCCTCCTTCCCTAAGCTGGTTGATAGTTTTATTCCTGCATATTGATTCTGACTAACTTTTCTATTGAATTGGTTGGTAACTGGCCACATCAAGGAAGTTTATAGTAAAACATAATAATGATCATTTGTTCAAGAGAGTTCCGGGTGAGACAAAGATTGCGTTTCCCATTCCACATACCAACTTCTGTTACATGCTGATTTAAAAAAAAAAAATTGTTCTCTAAAAAAGAATAAATGCAGTATCTTCTGGAATAAAAATTTGGTGTTATCAACCAACTTTTAAAGAGTTACTCTCATTTGATCTGCTAATGCTAATTTAAGAAGATTTAAAATTCTTTTAAATAGAAAAAATTTTTTGAAGAGTTTAGAGATGATTTCAGGTCAGATGAAAATCTAACCCAGACTATCTTCTCTGTAAATTGTCCTCTGGCTCCAAAATCCTGAATCATTACTCAGAAATGGACTTCCTGTACTCTTATATTCACTGGCTAATTTAACCAGTAATTAACTGTTAGCACGATCTTGATAAAAGCTTTCTGATATATCATGTTGTTGTTGTTTTAAATAAAGTGACATGGAAATGCCCATTTCTCTGATTGTTAAAGTCATATTTCTAATTAGATAAATCCATATTGGGAAGCCTGGGTTGGTCAATCAGTTAAGGGTCTGACTTTGGCTCAGGTCATGATCTCGTGGTTCGTGGGCTCAGGCCTTGCGTCGGGCTCTGGGCTGCCAGCATGGAGCCTGGAGCCTGCTTCCGATTCTGTGTCTCCTTCTCTCTCTCTGCCCCTCCCCTGTTCCCACTCTATCTCTCTCTCTCGAAAGTAAATAAACATCAAAGAAAAAGATTAAATCCATATTACTGCAGAGATGCCTTCCCCAAATTATTCCTAATATCTGTGCTTTTCACCTATGAAAAGGCAAGCATGCAAAAATGTGTGTTGTAAGTCATTCAGAAGAATTATAACAGGCTAAAGACATTATCTATTATTTTACCCAAAGACCCTTATCTTCCAGTAAAGTTAAATCATCTCAGATGTCAGCCCAAGAAGACTCCAGATGAATTTAGAGACCTCCTTCTGTCACAAAGCGAAAACTGTATCGTCCCCTTTTGTCTTGATCAACAGGCATCTAAAAATTAAGTTCAGGTCTTAATTTAAATGACTGTCTTACACCTAGAGACAAAAAAGCATATATAGATTCTCTGCTCTAAGTTTTCTTTTGGCAGTGTTTTAATTGTTCTACCATTTAATAAAGGTTTTAGAATTATAAACGGCCAGAAATGATTTTCTGAGCTCAGAGTATAAAAGATAAACATAATTCCCAACAGGAAAGATATGGTTCGCTTTCCTTTCCTGTTGTACTGATGCTTTCATGTAGCCATTTGGCAAGTTGAGATGTTCTAGAACTTTCTATCCTGTGTTCTTGTGTTGGAAGTTCAATTATATATTAAGACTGAGAAAAATGAAAATATTTTAAAAATAGTCTCATCGGTTACTATTTCAGTGTTTAATTATAATACTAAATATTCAAACACATTGATCTGCTGTTAACTTAAAACATATCGCAACTCAAAAAAGGAGATTTCCTCTTTCCCTTCCTCTTTCCCTTTTCCCAAAAGATACTCCTTATAGCAGATTGACTGAAAAATTAGAATTGACCAAATGTTCATCAGTAGGAGAATTAATAAGTTCATATTCTGAATGTTATATAGCAGTTTAAAGAAACGAAACTTATCTGTATACTATTATCTACAAATTATCAGGCTGTATTGTAGACGCGTAATGAAGTTGCAAAATGCTGTTTCCCACAGGAAAAGAATTTAACTTACTTTTTCAAAGGATGTATTTATGAATAATAAATCCTCAGTACAAATTTAGGAAGGCTACATGCCAAAATCCTATCTAATTTCCATCCAGGGAAAGGAATTGTGGTATCTGTCGAAATTCAAAGGGGCTTTTGTTTTTTTCTGTAATTTTTTAAACGTTTTACAAATGTATAAACTTGCAATTGACATATTTTAAGATAATATTATATGAAAGGGCCCAACATGAATAGCTTTAATTATATCTCTAGCTTCAATAACTGAATGAACGTCCCTGGGTGGATTCCATGTTTTTGCTGACACAATACTGGGACATTGAAAAAGAGGAAAACATCATTTACAAAAAAAAAAACCCAGAGCCAAATAAAATTACTATAAAATATATAATTTTTTTCTACTGATACCTCATGTTCTTCTGCTGACCTTTCCTAACCCTTAAGAAATCATGGAAATTTTAAGATAACAGTACAATGACTGTGGGTTGAGGCGCAGCTAAATTGGACTGAAGTCAGGTTGGCAAGTTGTCATGCTGTTTTTGTATTTATTTCTTTCAACTTTAACACCCACAATTTATTAAGTGAGACCGTGGATAAAAGAGGAAGCTCAGAATCCTGTTTGGACACCGTTTAGGAAGGAAATCGGGTCTTTATGGGGCACCCCCTTCCTCTGAGCCACTGGCCAGGAAAGCCATCTTTCTGTTTAAAACCTATTCAATCGGAGAGGTGGGGTGACTTAGGGAAGGAAGGTAACCTCTCCCTTGTGAAGTGGAACAGCTCTGTTTCCTCCCATGACTTACTCAACTCATTTCCACCACTGTTTATAAGAACACTTGTGCTGAATGCTTGTAGTGACAGCAATAGTCACTTAAAATATGGCTCAAATTTCATGCCCTCAAATTTCCTACGTTATTTGGAATCTTTGCTCATTAGCATCGCAAATGGAGCTTTTGGTCAGTTCGAGCTTCGCTAATGTCCTGTTTGAAGTGACAGGAGGCTTCTTACAAACCAGGAGTTTAATCAGTGCCCGGTACTGCTGTGTGTAGTGGAAGCAACAGCCGGTCCCAAGTCTGGAAAGAGAATGACTTGATGGGACCCAGGTCATTTCCAAAATGGAGGGAGTTTTCTTAGATGCCTTACCTGCCAGGGTCACCTGGAAGGTTAGGGTATGAAAGCGATGTGACCTGCTGGCTGAGGGAGGATATCCGAGGAACTTGTTTATTTTGAAAACTTTCCAGCGTTTTGTGTGTTGTAAATATTGGTGGATTTTGACCTCAGCTTCAGTGATGCTCATGTATGTCATTTGCATTGCTTCACGTCTGTGAAACACTGTTCATCTTATTAAAATCAGTCCCTTTATTCACTTCTCAAAAACATTTTAATAACCACTTTAGTCGGGGATAAGTTTAGACTTAGAGAAAAGTTACAAAGATAATCCAGAATTCCTCTGTACCCCTTGCCTTGTTTCCCTTCAGGTTAACTTTTCATATTGCCATGGTACATTTGTCAAAACAAAAAAAAAAAAAAAGAAAAGAAAAGAAACCAGACATTATGCATGACTGTTAACTAAACTCTGGTCTTTATCTGGATTTTGCCAGTGTTTCCACTAAGGTCCTTTTTTTCTGTGCTGGGATCCAGCCCAGGGTACCACATTGCATTTAATCATCTTATCTCCTTCTGTCTTCTGATTCGTGGCAGCTTCCGAGTCTTCCTTTTTCCCATGACCTTGGCAATCTTGAGAAGTACTGGCCAGGAATTTTGTAGAATATTTATCATTTTTAATAAGTAAAAACGTATAATCTCTGGGATTTTTGAAAGAAAGCCCATGTAGACCTATGAATAACTTGTACGACTAATTTTCCATTAATAGCCCAGTTCCAACCTGGTGATGGTTACTTTATCTTCTTATCGAATTTAAAGTGGATGTCTGATGAATTTCAGATTTGTTGAACATCTATCTGTTTGATGTGTGCGTGCGTTGTACAATCTCAACTTTACCAGTTCTGTTTAAACCCTCTAGAAAGTTTGTATTTTATCTGTTGTTTATGACAGATTCGAGATGGACAACCCAATTGCTACATATTGAAGAATAAAGATTTAGAACAAGCTTTTAAAGGAGCTATTTACTTGGAGATGGACCTTATATATAATCCGGTAAGCCGAGCTGGGCCATGCTGCCCAGTTTCTCTGTACCTAATGTAAGAGATGACCAGCCTGGCAAGACCCAAATCTGTGTAAAATGTTTCCAAAATGTTGCAGCTAGAGAGATAGAACAGGGTTTTTAAACTCAGCTATAAAATCAGTTCGGGACAATCCAGTTTTCAGCTTGTATTAATCCTGTTGAGCCAGTAGAAATGATGGTGTTTAATTCTCAGTACATCTAAATGTCAATGAAAAAAAAAAACAAAAATAGAAAGAGAAATTAGATTTTTTTTTAATCTTTATTACCTGTAATCTCTCTAAGGAAACAGTTGAGGGTCAGACAGAGGTATTTTCAAGCCTCTGTCATGTTATTTAATTGTTACAGTAGATGTCCTACTATCCAATACTATCAAGGCAAGTAATTACTCATTTGGAAAGAGCAATTAAGGGAAGAATTTGTAAAGCATACCTTAAACCTTTAGTTTAATATAAAATATGTAAATATTCATTTGCTAATATTTAGCTGTGGGCATACAAATCTTTTTTAAAAATTTTTTAATGTTTATATATTTTTGAGAGAGAGACAGAATGTGAGCAGAGGAGGGGCAGAGAGGGAAGGGGACACAGAATCGGAAGTGGGCTCCAGGCTCTGAGCTCAGCACATAGCCTGACGTGGGGCTTGAACTCACGAACCGTGAGATCATGACCTGAGCTGAATGAGGTTAGATGCTTAACTAACTGAGCCATCCAGGCGACCCAAAAATCTGGGTGTTTTTTTTTATAGCATACATCATGTTTAGTTCTGTAATATATTCCTTGCATCAGTGTATTCATAATACCTATAATAATACCTAGTTTCTGGTTTTTCTTAAGTGGAAATCTACTTTAAAGATACTCAAACAATCTGAATATAGAATTTTCCAGACTGTATTCTCCATCAAATCATTACCTCAGTAACAATATCTTTTTTAGTGACTGACCTCGTCATCATATCAAGGCTTTCTAGGGCAACATAAATTTCAAGTCTTCTGGTCCATGCTTGGATTTCAATGACTTCTGTGATAATTGATTAAAATGTGAAATTATGATAATGGGCAGAACTGGCATACAGAAGTTCAGAAGTTAGCATAGTTGATTCTTCATAGATACACAATTCGATGGTTGTGAGCAGAGACTCCCAAGCATGCAGAAAAGTGGCCTACTTAGCCGTGACCATGCGTATGCTATGGCATTGGCAGAAGGTTCTAGAAAGGAAAAGGAGAGCACAGGTTAATCCAGTTAGTGGGATAAATGAGTGTAGGGTAATGGAGCTTTTATAGTAATTATAAGAATGGCTGCCATTTAGTGGCCACCTCCAATGGGCCGGGCTCTGACATTATTTCACTTAATCCTCTCACTAAACCTGGTAAATAGGTATCATTAATGCCATTTTATGATGAGCAAATGGAGTTAAATAAGAGCGCTGATTTACTAGTAAATGAGTGAGTCAGCATACAGATCCAGATCTTTCTGTCTCTGCAATTATTCCCATGCTACCCTGTTTCTTGTTTAGTGTATCTCAGAAATTATTCATAAAATCAATGGTGGAGACATTTTTATATTTTCATGCTCCATAATGCTAGAATTCTGGGTACAGTCTTCAGTCTCAAGGTGGTGTTTTTACTTCCTCTTTTCCCCATTGATTTCCCTTCAAGGAAAATCCTGTGTGCATCTTGTACCACAGATGACCCTTCATTTACTATTTCCTTCTGGCAAGCACTTGTATATAGATTACGCCCAGGGGTGCCTGGGGGCTCAGTTGGTTAAGCATCTGACAGCGGCTCAGGTCATCATCTCATGGTTCATGAGTCCGAGCCCCACAATGGGCTCTATGCTGACAGTTCAGAGCCCAGAGCCTGCTTTGAATTCTGTGTCTCCCTCTCTCTCTGCCCGTCCCCTGCTCGTGTGCGCTCTCTCTCTCTCTCAAAAATAAATAAAACATAAAAAAAAATTTTTTTAATGTATAGACAAGGCACAAAGGTCATCCAGAGTTTTAGGGAAGAAAGCTTTATGAAGAATATATGGCAGTGTATGATTTTCCAGTTGTCCATCTGATGAAGAAGGATTTGAATTTTATTCTCTGAGATTTCCCTAAAGTATGGTGATTTGGACAGACCACTTCATCTGTCTGAGCCTCAGTTTATTCCCCATTAGATGGGTCTCAAATGATGCATCTATTGATTTTTCCATGTGATTGAGAGGAAATGAGGTTCTTGGTGGAAAGATGTTTTTATAAGCCAGAGACCAGTTTTCACAGGCCAAGTATTACTGGTAGAAAACACAGTTTCAAAACCTTGAGAAGGAAGCTTTACTTTTTAGAGACTAGTTCAAGAACTTCATGAACCCAGCCTGGGCTGTAGTTAAAATACCTCCATTGATTCTGCAAAGTGGATGCAACCCTCTCCGGAGTCTCCTGGGTCCTGTCTGACTTACCCAAGTGACTAGCTGGTAAAATGAGATCTCCAGAAACACATGGGGAGCACCGGGGTTAGCCTCCATTTCTCTGCTCCCTGCCAGAGGCCTTAAGGTCAGAAGATATTAGTTTCCACATTCTTCCCCATCAATAATGAGAAAAGGAAGAGAATGAAGTCCGTTTAAACGCTGCCCTTTCTTCTTTTTCAACACTGATGTCTTTCTAGGTCAAAGCAAGTATTAGGACCTTTACCCCCAGAGAAAAGCGCTTTGTGGAAGATAGCCGCAAGCTGTCCAAGAAGGTAGGTGGGTACGGCAAACCGGCTTGTTGCTACACTCAGCACCGGAAGTGCTTATTCGTCATGACTTAGCGGCTCACCCCACCTCCCTCCTCCCCTCCCTTCCTTCCTTCCTCCCACCCTCCTCTTCCTCCCCTTCCTCCTCCTCCTCCCCTTCCTCCTCCTCCTTCTTTTCTCTTCTCTTCCTTCTGTCTCTCTCTCTCTCTCTTTTTCTTCCTCCACCCCAGCTTCTCTCTCCTCACTCCCGTCTGTCTTCCCATCTGTCTCAAAGCAGGTCAGCACAGTAAGAAGGGAAAGACCAGAAACATGTATGTTGGACGAAGCAGAAGACGCCAGCCGTCCATTGATCTCCTGAATCATTCTATAAGCTAGTGTTAGCCTCTGTAGACCTTCTCCCGAATTTACTGGCCCTGCGTAGCCTCCTTCAGGTATAGCCAGTTCCCTGTCTGCCCTTCCAAGGCGTCAGGGAGGTGCTCTGCCCAGCGAGTCCTTAAGCAGATCTGCTCTGGCCTGGAGGTCACCCATGGCTGCTCCGACCACTTACTTATTGTCTAAATATTTAGAATGTGTTGGCATTTTACCTCATTATGAGTTAACGCCCACCCCACCCCCCCACTTCCGTTTCCCTTAATTCCTCTCTCATCAGTTTCACAAAAAGTGAAGATCATGGCCCCATAGGGGAAGTTTTGAATTTTTTTTATTGTGACCTTTATGTTTCTTTTCAGAGTCCCTCCCTATCTTATTCCGATGACACAGTTCAGAATTTCACTTGGTACCTATTGTCCCTCTTCGGTTGTGTAACAAAGAACAAAGTGTCCCCTTTTTAAAGTGTTTATTACTTCCACTGCTTCCTGAGGGGTGAGCAGCTGTGGATTACATAAAGCAGTTAAATATAAATGTGTCTCCTCATTCTTTTGTTTCCCATGAACTTGCGGGCACACTTGGGAAAGGCCTGGAATGTCTTTCGAAGGGAGCATTCCGATGTTTGGTTTCGGTCTGCCATAACATGGAGTGTAATATTTATTTGCTATAATCTGAGTAAATGTCTTTTATTATTATTATTATTATTATTATTATTGCCTTGTGCCCTATTTACTTGCAAGTTAAAACCTGAGTCGAGGTAGGTGGGGTAGCTGCTCTGCAAACAAGTTGAAATGAATCTGCAGGCAACTGGGTGAAAAGACATCTCCTTTGCCAAATAGGACCTCCATGGTCTGGGCTCTGAGAGCATCGAGGGGCTGAGACCCTGGCGTAGGTGAGGATCCTCCCATGTGCTTCTCGCCACTGTGTGTCTCCATATTTTTACACAGTGGAAGCTTGCGTTTGTGATCCGAGCACTTGAGATCACTTACCATGTGACCGCCTAGGACCCCCTGAATTTTCTTCACAGTCTGCAAGGTTAATACTGAGATCGACCCCTTTGTAGAAGATGAGGGATGTTAGGAAACAGGTCCGAGGTTGCACAGTCAGGAGGTGGGTTCTCCCCCCAGAATTATATTTTCCTATAGACATTTTTTCCCCCTGGACTACATGAGCTGGGATACTTGTGCCTTTAGTTTCTACAACACAACCTTGCATTTCCCTCCAAACTAAATTAAACATAGACACTCACTCTCATGCTCCCCTTTTCTTCGTCCCTCTCTCTCTTTCTCCCTCCCTTCCCCCCTCGATTTCTTTCTCTCTCTCTCTCTCACACACACACACACACACAAAATGCCAAGCTGCTGTTGCTTTCACCAGCTCATTTTTGTCCTGCACATTATTGAAACAAGCTATTGTCCATCAAAAGAGCTATAAAATGCATTGTATTTTTTTCTCTCTATGGATGATCGTGTTTCAAAAAGAATTTTAGAAGAAGCCCTAGGACTTTTCCTTTCTATTATTATTATTTTTTTTTAATCGGCAGCCTTATAAAATATAATTTAAATGCCCAAGCTACCTGATCTGAAGGGAATCTTTGGAGTATTTAAATCTAGTTCCTTGTTTTCCTTTTTATTAGATCTTATCAAGAGATGTAGACCGTGTGAAAAGAATCACCATGGCAATGTGGAATACAATACAGTTCCTTAAAAGCTGTTTCCAGTGGGAATCCACGTTACGAAGTGCAGTAGCGTTCGTGGTAAGCTTCTTCTTCTTCTTCTTTTTTTTTTGTTCAAATGATCTGCCTCTGAATCCCAGATCCAAATGCAGATGGGTTTTATGTTCCTGACATGAAGCAAATAATACACGTTCAGCATAGCGGAAGTTCACACCTGTAAGGAAACTTTCAAATGTAAATGGTATCCATTCATCTTTCTGAAATATATTATAGCGTGGGAGATTATACTAGCCATGTCTTTTCTAAGACTGTATTTGGGAATCTTTTAAATTACTCAAATCTTACTTGTTTTTTTAAAAAGGACAGGTGACAGATCACATGACAACATTGCTCTAATTTATGTTTTAAGCAGATATTCGCAAATTTTGATACAAAAACATGTATTCATATCAAACCACTTGAGTCATAATTGAGGACCTCTCATTACAAGGTGACCCAGTGCCATGAAAGAGAGTGACGGATGTATGTGAGATGCACTTTTCTCTCTGATAATGCTGGCCCATCCTTAGGAGAGTAATAAAATCACAGAATCTCAGAGGAGCAGCCAGAGATCTTAAAATCACCCAAGTTAACCACAGAGAGTCCAGGAAATCTTACAAGGACTTGAAAGTTGGTGCAGTGTGCTCATATTACATCTCTGGGCATTCTCTGCCGTATGCAAAAGGACTTGTTCTTGATGAGATTGGTCGTGTCAGGTGTGGGAGGAGAAATCAAATCTCTCTACTGCTAATCTGGTACCTTTGATATCATGCCATTAATCTCTGTAAAGTGCAAAAATCACAATAAGGCCTGATAGATGTGTGAGCGATTCTGAGTCATGATCATCAGTAAATCATGGCCTATCTCGTCTCTGTTGTTGTTGCTTGTTGTTTTAATTGTCACTGGTCTCTCCTACTCCATAGGCATATCCTCATTAAAAAAAAAAACAACAACGAATCAACCTAAGATGTCTGTGGGTTCAAGGTCACTCCCAATGTTATTACACAAGCAAGTACATCAGCTCCACAAGGGGCTTTTTCTTTGCCATGGAGAACATTCTGTTTGGTCTAATTAGTTTTAGATTTTCATTGCTTCAAGATGTAGCGGGCCTATCATGACTGTGACCTTGACCTTTAATACACTTTTTCTTTGGTCTGAAGTTGCTGAAAACAATTGGCCGTAGTAAAAACATGAGTAAGAAAGTTATTAATCCATATCTGTCTTTGTCTTGGCATTTATTCATCTTCTTCCCTTTCTTACATTCTCCTCAGCTGGGGGCTTCATGTGTTGGCTTCCTCTTCAGCCTCCCCCCTCTTCACTCCCCACCTGAATTCTCTTCAAAAACTTTCCACAGAATGTTCTCTTGTGATTCTGGGCAAAAGAGGAAAGTCAACACAATTGGTGGCTTCTTCCAGTCAGCACCCCAGCCAGCCCCTGTGAGGGGGAGAACATTTCCTCTTTCTTGAGCTTGATTTCTGGCACTGTGATTTTTAGAAAAACACAGCTCAGTTGCCCCGGCTTATGTAGGGGTGTGACAGAAATGATTAATGGGCTGCCGGCCTGATCTGAGGAAAGATTAGAACAAATGAATAGAAATAGGTTGTCTACTGGGGGTGGGGAAGGGACTTCTAATGGGAAGGGAGCTTTGGCAGTGGGGCCACCTCTGCACCGTCCGTCCAGTGTGGGGGTCCTCCCTGAGGCCACCTCACCGGAGAGCATGTGGCCAGGCTGACAGACTCAGGCTGCCACATCACCCTTTCAAATCCCCGTGGCCCACAGAATGAAAGATAAAGGCGGTGCCCTTCTTGCGGGTTCACCACAATGTGACTTTGCAAGAATCCATGGGTTTGGAAGACTGTGCGAGTCTCTACTTGTAGGTGTTGTGTTGGGGGACATTTGCCACTGGACGTCTTTGAAAAAATGCAGTCCTTTAGGAATGATACATGCATGAGCCTTTTCTCTGAAGGTACTGGAAGGGAAAGTGCTCCCTTACAAGCATGTAGTCTTCAGTTTTAAGTTGAAATTCTGAATCTGAATGTTTAGCTCATGTTTACTTGGACCAGTCATGGCAGATATCAGCGATACTATAGATCTGGAGGGGTGGTATGTCTCCGCCCTAAGCCGATGGAGCATAATCTTATTAGAGTAGGTCTCTGTTATGGTCATATCATGGTTCTTCCAAAGCTAGATCTGCTCTTATAGCAAGAGCCTACAAAGAAAATATTTTAGGGATAAAATTAAAAAGTATAGATTAGTCTCCCTTACTCTATTTTAAGACTATGAGTATCCAAGCCTTCATTTTGGGGAAAAATATTTTGTTTTAATGGATCTCTCCTACATGCTTAGGTTAGCCACCTGTAGAATACGGATGGGCGGTTTCAAGCTTCAGGGCCACCACTGGCTGTGATACTGGGTCCCTGCCTCTGGGGACTCCATTAAGGGTTGTCTTTCTGCAAAGTGTCAGATCCTCAGGTGACCTAGGCCAGAGAGAGGAAGGGGAGCCTGCAATACCAAAGCCCCAGTTCTTCTATTCCTGGCTCCAGTGTGGAGAGTGTCCGATTTGTCGCTGCTGGTACACACTGCTTCTCTCCTGTGACTACCGAGGACGAGATTCTGCTCCTGGTCTTTATTCCTCCGTGTGATGGTTTGTTCGTGCTTCGCCCACTTGCCTTGGCATTCCAGGGACAGGACACTTTTGTGGTAATCTGAAGCGAGGTCTCAGGCCAAGGTTTTACTAAACAATAGGACTGTATTTGAAGGCCTTTCTGTATTAAAAATTAAGATAAGTTGTTACTGAGGGTTCACAGCACAGGTGTAAAAAGAACCATTTTTGCTGATTCAGTTCCGAGTGGGACTTTTCCTCCCTGGTCCAGGAAGTGACTCTAGCCTTGTAAACTAAGGGCAGAACTCAAGGAATTTTTTTCTTACAAGTTTTATCAGATAACATAAAATAGCATATTACCATCATGCCAGAGTCTCTATTTTCAGATGATACAAAGCATGAACACTGTAGGATCATGTTTTGTATATTCTGGCTGTTCATTTTAAGACTTCATGAAAGCAGGGGTCCCTGGGGGGCTCAGTCAGTTAAGCGTCTGACTTTGGCTCAGGTCATGATCTCACGGTTTGTGGGTTCGAGCCTCTCACCCGGCTCTGTGCTGACAGCTCAGAGCCTGGAGCCTGCTTTGGATTCTGTGTCTGCCTCTCTCTGCTTCTCCCTGCTCCTCCCCTGCTGGCACTCTGTCTCTGCCTGTCTCTTAAAAATAAATAAAACGCTAAAGAAAACTTTTTTAAGACTTGATGAAAGCAAAGTGTGCATTTTTTAAAGGTTCCTATGGGTATGTATATGAACATATCATATCTTGTTGAAAGCAGGGTTAAAGATGAGCAGCCTATAAGGATATAAGTCCACATGGTGTATGGTCAGAAGTGGGTAGACAGACATCCAAGGATTTATCTTATTAGACTGTCCAGGCATAAACCTCTTCACCATGGGGTTAATCCCCTGACCACTTACACGGGTGGCCATCTTCTCAGTACTCCAAGAGGAAAATATTGAGTGTATTAAAGTATTAAAGTGCCTTTAATTCACTGACTCCTGGCAAGCAAATGTTGCTGTATAATGTTTAATTCATTGTTATTGTAAGAAATTAATTTGGGTTTTTATTTTTTTTCAGAGCAGTCAAACCATTCCACCCCATGCATCCACAGGCTCGGTTTTCTTTTTTTGCTAGAATGACTACAGAAAAGCTTGCTCATTAGGTCCTTTGAAGTCTTTCCCTTGCTTCTAGGATTTCTAGATGTGTTTCTGCATTGCATTTCCCATGCTTTACTTGTTATAAATTAAATATGCCCGTGTTTTCTTTTTCTCTGCTCAACACGTCATATTCTCAGCTTTTCCACATGAAAAACAAATTAATAGGAGATGTCAGTTTATTGACAGAGGTCAAAGGTAACTAAAACTCATGCCCAGAAGAGGCACATCTGTGTCTTTCCCTATGGCTGAGTTTGTAATTACACGTGGTATTTCATAGACCTGCGCATGGTCATTCCCAGACACAGACTTTGACCTGTAAGTGTCTTCAATAGTTGTCGTTTCAGTGCTTACTGTGTGGCAGGCACCATCTGAAGCATCTTACAAACATTACCACATAGAGTTCTCATCAATACTTGCTGATATGGGTATCAGTTATTACTTTCTTTTTACGGATGACAAAAACCAGCCCAAAGAGGTAAAATAGAGTATCAGAACTCACATGCTTTTAAGAAGCACAGCGGGATATTAATCCAAATCACCAAGCTATAAAGTCCATGTGTTTGACCATTGGGCTGTACTCCCTGTCACTGATGTTCAGGATGCAGTGATTGTGGTCCTTGTATTTAGATAGATGCTAATGACTCTAGGAACAAGTATATAGGTCATTTCAGATATGTATTTAGATGTGACGAGTGGGTGTTAAGCCTTCTCCAAGACACCTTGTTGGGGGAGAGAAAACCCTCATCATTTGGGTGGGAATAATTCCCAGTCACGGTCATCGTATTCACAAGAGATGGAGACAGAATTAAAGAGGCAGAAGGTGGAAATGTCTGTACCATGTCTGGGGAACAGCCCAGACCCTGGGAATCACATGCGTAAGACATCTTTGGAATCTAACTTGATGGTCTGGAAAATCTCAGTGCCTGCTTCCAGGCCGAGCCCCATGTTGGAGACTGAGTTATTTTTGCCCACTTTGTAGGGGAAGCTCTTAGATGATGGAGATGGGTTTTCAAGGAGAGCATGAAGGCTGAAAACAACTCCGTGAAAGGGTCATGGATGGAATCTACCCTTTTGCCAGATTCTTTCAGGTTGTTCAAAATAAGGGATGAGTGGAGCCAAGTACATTAATCTATGTATCTGCATTAATGCATTCCTTCAAAATGTCTTAAAACAGCAGCTGTCAGAGAAATAGACCCACATTTCTAGTAGCGTGTGTGTTGGAGAGGGGGTACTTTACTGTCTCTCCCCATGTTTCAGTATAGATACGTGAGTACGTCATCATTAC